AGAAACAAAAAAAAATGAAAAATTTAGAAACTCAAGTCAAAAATTTTCCAACTTATGGATGTTTCAATTTTTCGATTGCAATGTTTTGTTTCGGTTTTTTCTAGTCTTTTATTTTTTGAATTTTTGGATTTTTCAATTTTTCAAGTTCTTGATTTCCAATTTTTAGCTTTTTCAATTTCACAATGTTGCAATTTTTCCATTTTTTTGATTCGAAAAGTTGATAAATCGAAAAACTGAAAAAAAATTGCAAATCGAAGAACTGAAGAAACGAAAAATTGAAACATTGAAAAACTAAAAATTGTGAAACGTAAAAATAATGTCGAAAACTGTAATACTGCAAGATCCAAAAACTAAAAATTTAAAATCCAAAAATTGAAAAATCGAGTCAGTGAAAAAAATTGAAACACTACATATTTAAAATGAAAACTAGAAAAAATTACAAATCAAAAATCGAAGAACGAAAAATTCAAAAATCCAAAAACTGAAAAATCTAAAAGTGAAAAAATGAAAAATAAGTTGAAATATTAAAAAGTTGGAAAATCGAAAAATTCGAAAATTTAAAATGAAAAAACTAAAAATTTAAGAATGCACGATTGAAAATGGGAAATCGAATAAATGAATCCAATAATTGAAAAACGGAGAATTTCTGGAAACGTGAAATTTAAAAATTGTAAAATTTTAAAAATTATAATTAAAATTGAAAAATCCAAAAATTGGAAAATCAAGTAAGTGAAAAAGTGTTAAAATCCAATAATTGAAAAATGGAAAAATCCTAAAATAGTAAAATTGAAAAACTACATATTTAAAATGAAAACAAAAAAACAGTGTAAATCAAAAATTGAAGAAACAAAATTGAAAAATCCAAAGAAGTGTTGGAAAATTGAAAGATTATAAAATTTAAAAGTGAAAACTCGAAAAGTCGCAAGTCGTGAAATTAAAGGAAAAAAATGTAAAAACAAAAAAAAAAATGAAAAATCGAAACGAGAAGTTGCAAATCAAAAATTCGAAAAAATTAAAAATCAAGAATCGAAAAATTGAAAATGGAAAATCGAATAAATTTAATACAATAATTGAAAAACGGAAAAATTCTGAAAACGTGAAATTGAAAAATCCAAAAATTGGAAAATTGAAACACATTGAAAAATAAATTTAATCAGTACATTGAAAAACGGAAAATTTGAATAAATTAAAAAAAAACCGAAATGAAAAATTGAATAAATAACAATTTCTCGACCTTCCAAATTTTTCAATTTTGCAATATTTCGAAATTGTAAGTTTTCATTTTCCTGATTTTTTCCATTTTCTCGATTTTATATCGGAATTTTTCGTTTATTTAACTTTTCAAATTTTCAATCTTTGATTTTTCATTTCGTCGGTTTTTCAATTTTTTAATATTTCGTTTTTTCGATTTTTAAGTTTCTCAATTTTCAATTTTTCCTTTCTTCAATTTTTCAAGTTTTTGATTCCAATTTTTAGATTTTTTAAAGTTTTCGTTTTACACTTTTTCCCTTTTTCATTTTTGATTTTTCAATTTTACAATTTTGCGGTTTTTCCAATTTTTTATTCGAAAAGTTGAGACATCGAAACACTGAAAATCGAAGAAGTGAAAAAATTTTAAAATCCAATAATTGAAAAATGGAAAAATCCTAAAATAGTGAAATCGAAAAAACGAAAAACGGAAAAAATTTAAAATGGAAACTCGAAAAGTCGCGTTTCGTAAAATTGAAGAAAAAAAATTTTTAATTTTGAAACTGGAAAAACAAAAAAATGTGAAAAAATATATAAAATACAGAAAATGAAAAATCGAAACGAGAAATTGTAAATCAAGAATCGAATAAATGAATTATTCAAAAATAGAGAAATTCTGAAAACGTACAATTGAAAAAGTGGTAAATTTTAAAAATTATCATTACATATTTAAAATGAAAAGTAGAAAAATTACGAATCAGTACACTGAAAAACCGAAAATCTGAACAAAAATCAAGAAATTAAAAAAACTGAAAATCCAAAAGTGGGAAAATTGAAAAATCCAAAAAATTTAAAAATGGAAACGAAAAACAAAAAAAATTGGTCTGATTGGAAAATTGAAAAGTTTTGAAAATTCAAACACTGAAGAAACAAAAAAATTAAAAAAATGAAAAATTGAAAAAATCAAGTCAAAAATTTTCCAACTTATGGATGTTTCAACTTTTTATTTCTTAAATTTTTCGTTTCGGTTTTTTATTGCCTTTATTTTTAAAATTTCGCAGTTTTTCAATGCTCTAATATTATAATTTTTTTCTCTTTTCAGTGTGAAATTTTTCTATTTTTCATCTTTAAAGTGTTTCAATCAAAACTTGGAAAAATCGCATGTCGTAAAAATTAAAATTGCAAATCGAAAAATTGAAAAGTTTGAAAGTGAAAAAAGAAAAAAATATGAGGAAATATAAAAAATAAAGAAAAGGAAAAATTGAAAATGGAGAAATTCTGAAAATTGAAATTGAAAAAGTGTAACATTTTAAAAATTACTATTAAATTTGAAAAATCCAAAAATTGGAAAATTGAAAAATTGAAACACATTGAAAAATAAATTTAATCAGTACATTGAAAAACGGAAAATTTGAACAAATTAAAAATATAAAAAACCAAAATGAAAAATTGAATAAATAACAATTTCACGATCTTCCAAATTTTTCAATTTTGCAGTATTTCGAAATTATAATTTTTCATTTTCTCGATTTTATATCACAATTTTTCGTTTATTCAATTTTTCAAATTTTCAATCTTTGATTTTTCAGTTCGTCTGTTTTCCAATTTTTAGATTTTTTTAAACTTTTCGTTTTACACTTTTGCAATTTTTTATTCGAAAACACTGAAAAATCGAAGAAGTGAAAAAATTTTAAAATCCAATAATTAAAAAATGGAAAAATCCTAAAACAGTAAAATTGAAATACCTACTTTACACATTTAAAACGAACACTAGAAAAAATTGCAAATCGAAAATTCAAGGAACGAAACATTGAAAAATTCAAAACGTGAGAAAAGGAAAAACTGAAAAATTTAAAAATGGAAACTCGAAAAGTCGCATTTCGAAAAAATTTAAGAAAAAAAGTTGAAAATAAGTGTGAAATTTTAAAAATCATAATTACATATTTAAATGAAAACTTGAAAAATTACAAACCAAAAATTAGAAAACTACATTGAAAAAAAAAATTTAATCAGTAATCGAAACTTTTGAAAATCGAAAAACTGAAGAAACAAAAAAAAATTAAAAATTTAGAAACTCGAGTAAAAAATTTTCCAACTTATGGATGTTTCAATTTTTTGTTTCTTAAATTTTTCGTTCCCAGTACACATCGTGAAAAAAAAAGAAAAATTGAAATTGGAAAAACAAAAAAATTGGTCTAATTGGAAAATTGCAAAGTTTTGAAAATTCAAAAATTGAAAAAAGTCAAGTCAAAAATTTTCCAATTTATGGATGTTTCAATTTTTCGATTGCAATGTTTCGTTTCGGTTTTTTAGTCTTTATTTTTTAAATTTTTGGATTTTTCAATTTTTCGAGTTCTCGATTTCCAATTTTTAGCTTTTTCAATTTCACAATATTGCAATTTTTCCATTTTTTTGATTCGAAAAGTTGATAAATCGAAAAATTGAAAAAAAAATGCAAATCGAAGAACTGAAGAAACGAAAAATTGAAACATTGAGAAACTAAAAATTGAGAAACGTAAAAATAATGTCGAAAACTGTAACACTGGAAGATCGAAAAACTGAAAATTTAAAATCCAAAAATTGAAAAATCGAGTCAGTGAAAAAAATTGAAACACTACATATTTGAAATGAAAACTAGAAAAATTTCAAATCAAAAATTGAGAAATCCGAAAATTAGAAAACGTCACATTGAAAAAATTAAAACAGTGCCTTGAAAAACAGAAAAATTGGTCCAAACTTAAAAACACGGAAAATTGGAAATTGAAATAGTGAAGAAACAAAAAAAGGAAAACATGAAACTCAAGTCAAAAATTTTCCAACTTATGGATGTTTCAATTTTTTATTATTTTTCGTTTCGATTTGTTATTGTCTTTATTTTTTCAATTTTTCGGTTTTCAAATTTCGTTTTTCAACTTCTAGATTTTTGAATTGTTGGATTTTAAAACTTTTTCTTTTATTCGACTTTTTTTCAAACTCTCAATATAATTGAAAAATCAAAATGAAAAAAACCAAAAAATGTGAAATGAAAATTTTGAAAAATCGAGAAAATAGAAACTAAAAAATTCTGAAAATGAAACCTTTATAAATAATTCTAAAAATTGACTTGTCGTCCAGGTGGCTTGCACCAACTGGAAGCGCCTCCTCATGGTCTTGACCGGCACGTCGTCGTCGTCCAACCTCGTCGACATCCCCGGGTCTCTAGCCCACGCCGACAACTCCACCCTCAGGCTCTCCCAGCTGGACCCCCCCGCCGTGCGCCACTGCCTCGAGCACTACACCGCCTTCGTCATGGTCCGCCACCCCTTCGAGCGCCTCCTCTCCGCCTACCGCAACAAGTTCGAGAACACCTACAGCCAGTACTTCCAAGTAAGCCCGAATCTAGTTAGTCGTGCCAGTACTCCACCCCCTTACAGCTCCGCTACGGCCGCACCATCATCCGCAAGTACCGCCACAACGCCACCGACAGCGACCTGGACACCGGCACCAACGTGACCTTCCGCGAGTTCGTCTGGTACGTCCTGGAGGACGGCAGCGCCAACGAGCACTGGGCGCCCGTGTTCGACCTGTGCCACCCCTGCTCTCTCAACTACAGCTTCATCGGGCGGTACGAGACCCTCGTCGAGGACGCCGCCGCCCTCCTCGACATGATCGGCGCGCCGCCCATCGCCTTCCCCTTCACCAGGTCGTCGAACACGTCCCACAAGCTCAGGACGTACTTCCAGCAGCTGTCGATGGACGACATCCGCGGACTGTACAAGAAGTACGAGTACGACTTCAGGTTGTTCGGGTACACGCTCGAGGACTTGCTCGGCTTTGATTTACCGTAATTTATTAAGTTTTGTACAAAGAAATAGACAAATAAAACAATCGAAAATGTGCAACGAAGATCACAATAAATGCCACCACTCTACGGGGAAGGGTTTAGGTTATGACGGTGGGCTGCTCCCGCCCGGTGAACTTCTTGAGTTGGGAGATGTCGAGGGCGACGTTGATGAGGGGCTTCAGCATGGTCTGGGCGCTGCAGGTGACGTTGTCCTTCTCGTAGCTGTCGATGTAGAGGCGCACGGTGGCGCCGCTGCTGCCGGTGCCAGAGAGTCTGAAAATCACTCGGGAGCCGTCGTCGAAGAGCACCCGAATACCCTAGGTCAAACAATTAACAACCGTTTTTTAATTTATTTGATTTTTCGAACCTGGTTCTTGGTGAAACTCTTGTCGATGGGGTCCACGTACGAGAAGTTGTCGGCTTGCTTGACCTTGTAGGTTTTCCCCTCCGCCGTGAAGGTCTTCCCGACGAAGGCGGCGTCGGCGATGGTGTGCTCCAGGTGGGCCATCATTTTGTTAGCGTCGTCGCTGTCGCACTCCTCGTAGTCGTACCGGGTGAAGTAGTTCCGACCGTAGGTCTTCCAGTGTTCGGTGAGGATGTCCTCCACGCTCATGTTCTTGTGGGCGATGATGGACAGCCATGCCAGGACTGCCCAAATGCCGTCTTTCTCGCGAATGTGGTCGGAGCCGGTCCTGACAACAACAACAACAAATAAAATTATAAAATTGCAAAACCCCATGTGGCACAAACTTTGACGTAAACTACTCAAAGTTGTTTGTTTTCGGCTAAAATAATTACTACGACTAGTTTTAACTACTTTTTTTATGTGTGACTTCACGGATAATTATAGCGTGGTGCAGAAATCGCTATTTACTCGACTGTTTATTGTTACAAAGGCTGCAATAAACAAATTATCCTTGCAAAGTATGTATTCATTATTTATTTAACGACGTTCCAAGAAAACATTCAAGGTAGCTTAACGCTACAAAATAAATATTAAAGTTGACGACGATCGAAGTTTTTGTCGCCATATGTCGCTTTTTGCTTTGTTTGAAAGTTGCGTAACGACACGGAATGTGCATTTTTATAAAATATGAAATTCGTCACGTGTTTTTCTTGTGAAAGATGTTGATACACATGATGCAGGATCGTCTAACGAATATCTAAAAATGGTAAAATGCCAACAAAAATTTGTCTCTTGGCTGTCTCGAAAAAACTGATGACGTCATCTGAAAATACTATCCACTTTTAACTATTAGCCCTGCCCGCCCACCCACCCCTCCTTTTTACTGGCTACAGGGGTAAAGTGTGTTGTTGCGTTTCAAATCTATTTTTCATAATGAAATTTTGTGATTAAGATGAAAAAAACGTAAAATTTTAAAAAATAATTCACAAAAATGTGGAAGAAAAGCGATTAAAAGGATCCAAGAATGGGACTACAAAAAGTGATAAAAAATAAAAAATGCTAAAAAGAACAAGAAAAAAGTGACGAAAGAAAGGTAAGGAAAAAGAGGACCAAAAAAAATCGAAAAAAGTTGGCAAAAATTGTCGAAAAGAGCGGGAAAAAAAATGACGACAAAAATAGGTCCTACAAAATGTGAAAAAAAGGACCAAAAAAAAAACTCGACTACAAAAACCAAATATAATACACAAAAAGAATGTTAAAAATAGGGCAAAAAAAAAATGGAAAAAAAAATGTGGAAAAAAGGGACGACAAAAAAAGCGATAAAAACAGGACGAAAAATCCTGAATCAAGTTTAAAAAAAAAAACAAGAAACCAAAAGTGACAAAAATGAAAGTAAAAAACGCCATAAAAACGACAAAAAAAACGAAGACAAAAAATGCGACTAAAAGGACATCAACAAAAATGTTACAAAAAAACGACTATCGGAAAAAAGCTTCAAAAAAAAGAATGGAAACAAAAATAAAAAATGCGATTAGAATGAATGGAAATAAGGTCACAAGAAGAGGACAAAAAGAGAAAAATAAAGACGGCTCACGGAGTCAGAAACGGCGACAGAATTGGTTACAAAAAATGGAACAAAAAAAAACCTTTAAAAATAGGTCAAAATATCGAAAAAAGGGCAAAAAAAAATACTAAAGGTTAAATGTCCAAAGAAGGCAATAAAAAAGAGACCAAAAAGAAGAGAGTAAAAAAACTATGAAAAACAGACAAAAAAGAAAAAACTACAAAAAAATTTATTCAACATAAAAAAGACAGACAAAAACAGACGGTAAAGAAACCAGAAAAAGCAACCACGAGGGGAAAAACAACCAAAAAGATGACAAAAATGCGACAAAAAATGAAATGGAAAAAGTTGACAAAAAAAGTACAACAAAAAAGAGCAAACAAGCCAAAATCCAAACAAAATGCAAAAAATGGTAATAAAGAGACCAAAAAAAAAACGACTAGAACAAAAAAAGAGGTCACAAAATAGGCAACTAAAAATACGACGAAAACTGTACAAAAAAAAAACACGCTGAAAAACTACAAAAAACGGAAATACAAAAAATAAAAAAAGTGTCAAAAAAATGCGATAAAAAATCCATACATGTTAAAAAAATGGGATTACAAAAAACAAACAAATAAGCGGTGGTGGTGAGAAAAAATGCTAGTAACAGAGGACAAAAAACTCCGTAAAAAATGTGGAAAAAAACAAATACAAAAATAGGTGACAAAAACACAAGATAAAATATTCCATGAAAAATTCGAACAAAAGCGATTTTTCAATTTTTCTTTTCGTCAGTTTTTCAAGTTCTTGATTCATTTTTGAATTTGTCAATTATCCGATTTTCCATTTCTTTAATTTTCAATATTTTCGATTTTATATTTCGTTTCTTCTTTTCGATTTTTAAGTTTCCTAATTTTTTATCTTTCGATTTTTCAATTTTTGAACACATTGATTTCTAGTTTTTGAATTTTCCAACTGACGAAAACGGGTGATGGAAAAGCAAGAAAAAATGCAACTAAAAAAATGGAGTTAAAAAGGGCCAAAAAACAAAGAAAAAAATACAAAAAAAGCCACAAATAAATTTTAAAAATGTGTCCAAAAACTCAAAAAAAGGGTTACAAAAAATTCATAAAACACGTTAAAAAAATGGGATTACAAAAAAATTAAAAACGCGACGAAAGAATGATGCGAAAAAAATGCTACCAACTGAGAACAAAAAATTGCAAAAAAAATGTAGAAAAAAAAAATCGATTTTTTAATTTCACATTTTCCCGATTTTATATCACACTTTTTCGTTTTTTCATTTCCTTCATTTTTTCAATGTTTCTTCCGATTTTATAATTTTTCAATTCCTCGATTTTCCAAGTTTGAAATTTTGAATTTTGCAATTTTTGGATTTCTCAATTAACAGATTTTCAGATTTCTCTAATTTCCAGTATTCGGATTTTCTTAATTTTCAATATTTCGTTTTTTTTTATTTTGCACTTTTTCGTTTCTTCAATTTTTCAAGTTCTTGATTTCCAACTTTTAGAGTTTTCAAAGCTTTCGTTTTATACTTTTTTCGTTTTTTTTCACTTTTGATTTTACAATTTTGCAATTTTTCCATTTTTTTTATTCGAAAAGTTGAAAAATCGAAAAACTGAAAAAACGGGAAATTACAAAATCCGAAAAACTGCAAATTGAAGAACTCAAGAAATGAAAAATCGGAACATTGAAAAACGAAAAATGGAAAAACTTAAAAATCGAACAAAAATTACTGAATCGAAAAATTGAAAAGAGGAAAAAACGAATCGAATCGAAAAATTGGGAAACCCAAAAATTATTAAATTGAAAAATTATACGATTGTCAAAATTGTAAAGTCGAAAAATGGGATTACAAAAAAAAAAAAAAACAAAAAAACGACGAAAGAAAGGGGAGAAAAAATCCGAGTAACAGAAGACAAAAAGGTCCGTAAAAAATGTGAAAAAAAAACAAAAACAAAAATAGGTGACAAAAACACAAGATAAAATATTCCATGAAAAATTCGAACAAAAGCGATTTTTCAATTTTTCTTTTCTCCAGTTTTTCAAGTTCTTGATTCATTTTTGTATTTGTCAATTATCCGATTTTCCATTTCTTTAATTTTCAATATTTTCGATTTTATATTTCGTTTCTTCTTTTCGATTTTTAAGTTTCCTAATTTTTTATCTTTCGATTTTTCAATTTTTGAACACATTGATTTCTAGTTTTTTGAATTTTCAAACCGACAAAAACAGGTGATGAAAAAGCAAAAAAAAATCCAACTAAAAAAATGGAGTTAAAAAAGGGCCAAAAAACAAAGAAAAAAAATACAAAAAAAGTCACAAATAGATTTAAAAAATATTTCCAAAAACTCAGAAAAAGGGCAACAAAAAATCCAAAAAACACGTTAAAAAAATGGGATAAAAAAAACAAAAATGCGACTAACAGAGAACAAAAAAATTACAAAAAAAACGTGGACAAAAAGCGACAAAAGTATGTGACAAAAGCACAACATATAAAAATTCCTTGAAAAATTGAAAAAAAAAAACGCCAAAAAGCGATTTTTCGTTTCCCCAGTTTTTCATTTTCTGGATTTTTTAATTTCACATTTTCCCGATTTTATATCACACTTTTTCGTTTTTTCATTTCCTTCATTTTTTCAATGTTTCTTCCGATTTTATAATTTTTCAATTCCTCCATTTTCCAATTTTTAAATTTTGAATTTTGCAATTTTTGGATTTCTCAAATAACCGATTTTCCGATTTCTCTAATTTCCAATATTCGTTTTTTTTATTTTGCACTTTTCGTTTCTTCAATTTTTCAAGTTCTTGATTTCCAATTTTTAGACTTTTCAAAGTTTCGTTTTATACTTTTTTCGTTTTTTTTTTCACTTTTGATTTTACAATTTTGCAATTTTTCCATTTTTTTATTCGAAAAGTTGAAAAAACAGGAAATTACAAAATCCGAAAAACTGCAAATCGAAGAACTGAAGAAATGAAAAATCGAAACATTAAAAAACGAAAAATGGAAAAACTTTAAATTCGAACAAAAATTACTGAATCGAAAAATTGAAAACAAGAAAAAACGAATCGAATCGAAAAATTGGAAAACACGCAGAAAAACTACAAAAAAACGGGAATACAAAAAATAAAAAAGTGTCAAAAAAACTAAAAAAATGCGATAAAAAATCCATACATGTTAAAAAAATGTGATTACAAAAAAAAAACAAAAAAGCGACGAAAGATAGGTGAGAAAAAATGCTAGTAACAGAGGACAAAAAAACTCCGTAAAAAATGTGGAAAAAAACAAATACAAAAATAGGTGACAAAAACACAAGATAAAATATTCCATGAAAAATTCGAACAAAAGCGATTTTTCAATTTTTCTTTTCGCCAGTTTTTCAAGTTCTTGATTCATTTTTGAATTTGTCAATTATCCGATTTTCCATTTCTTTAATTTTTAATATTTTAGATTTTGTATTTCGTTTCTTCTTTTCGATTTTGCACTTTTTCGATTTTTAAGTTTCCTAATTTTTTATCTTTCGATTTTTCAATTTTTGACACATTGATTTCTAGTTTTTGAATTTTCCAACTGACGAAAACGGGTGATGGAAAAGCAAGAAACAATGCAACTAAAAAAATGGAGTCAAAAAGGGCCAAAAAACAAAGAAAAAAATACAAAAAAAGCCACAAATAAATTTTAAAAATGTGTCCAAAAACTCAAAAAAAGGGTTACAAAAAATTCATAAAACACGTTAAAAAAATGGGATTACAAAAAAATTAAAAACGCGACGAAAGAATGATGCGAAAAAAATGCTACCAACTGAGAACAAAAAATTGCAAAAAAAACGTAGAAAAAAAAAATCGATTTTTCAAATTTTCGTTTCCCCAGCTCCTGATTTTTATTTTTCAATTTCTCGATTTTTTAATTTCACATTTTCCCGATTTTATATCACACATTTTCGTTTTTTCATTTCCTTCATTTTTTCAATGTTTCTTCCGATTTTATAATTTTTCAATTCCTCGATTTCCCAAGTTTGAAATTTTGAATTTTGCAATTTTTGGATTTCTCAATTAACCGATTTTCAGATTTCTCTAATTTCCAGTATTCAGATTTTCTTAATTTTCAATATTTCGTTTTTTTTTATTTTGCACTTTTTCGTTTCTTCAATTTTTCAAGTTCTTGATTTCCAACTTTTAGATTTTTCAAAGTTTTCGTTTTATACTTTTTTCGTTTTTTTCACTTTTGATTTTACAATTTTGCAATTTTTCCATTTTTTATTCGAAAAGCTGAAAAATTGAAAAACTGAAAAAACGGAAAATTACAAAATCCGAAAAACTGCAAATTGAAGAACTCAAGAAATGAAAAATCGGACCATTGAAAAACGAAAAATGGAAAAACTTAAAAATCGAACAAAAATTACTGAATCGAAAAATTGAAAAGAGGAAAAAACGAATCGAATCGAAAAATTGGGAAACCCAAAAATTATTAAATCGAAAAATTATAGGATTGTCAAAATTGTAAAGTCGAAAAATGGGATTACAAAAAAAAAACAAAAAAACGACGAAAGAAAGGTGAGAAAAAATGCGAGTAACAGATGACAAAAAAGTCTGTAAAAAATGTGAAAAAAAAAACCTAAAACATAAATAGGTGACAAAAACACAAGATAAAATATTCCATGAAAAATTCGAACAAAAGCGATTTTTCAATTTTTCTTTTCTCCAGTTTTTCAAGTTCTTGATTCATTTTTGTATTTGTCAATTATCCGATTTTCCATTTCTTTAATTTTCAATATTTTCGATTTTATATTTCGTTTCTTCTTTTCGAATTTGCACTTTTTCGATTTTTAAGTTTCCTAATTTTTTATCTTTCGATTTTTCAATTTTTGAACACATTGATTACTAGTTTTTTGAATTTTCAAACTGACAAAAACAGGTGATGAAAAAGCAAAAAAAGATGCAACTAAAAAAAATTGAGTTAAAAAAAGGGCCAAAAAAACAAAAAAAAATGCAAAAAAAGTCACAAATAAATTTAAAAATATATCCAAAAACTCTGAAAAAGGGTAACAAAAAATCCATAAAACACGTTAAAAAAATTGGATTACAAAAAAAAAACAAAAACGCGACGAAAGAATGATGCGAAAAAAATGCTACCAACTGAGAACAAAAAAAATGCAAAAAAACGTAGGAAAAAAAACTCCAAAAAGCGATTTTTCAATTTTTCGTTTCCCCAGTTCTTGATTTTTATTTTTCAATTTCTCGATTTTTTAATTTCACATTTTCCCGATTTTATATCACACTTTTTCGTTTTTTCATTTCCTTCATTTTTTCAATGTTTGTTCCGATTTTATAATTTTTCAATTGCTCGATTTTCCAATTTTAAATTTTGAATTTTGCAATTTTTGGGATTTCTCAATTAACCGATTTCCGATTTCCAATATTCAGATTTCCTTAATTTTCAATATTTCGTTTTTTTAATTTTGCACTTTTTCGTTTCTTCAATTTTTCAAGTTCTTGATGTCCAACTTTTAGATTTTGAAGGTTTTCGTTTTTTTCACTTTTGATTTTACAATTTTTCCATTTTTTTATTCGAAAAGTTGAAAAATCGAAAAACTGAAAAAACGGGAAATTACAAAATTCGAAAACCTGCAAATCGAAGAACTGAAGAAATGAAAAATCGGACCATTGAAAAACGAAAAATGGATAAACTTAAAAATCAAACAAAAATTACTGAATCGGAAAATTGAAAAGAAGAAAACACGAATCGAATCGAAAAATTGGGAAACCCAAAAATTATTAAATCGAAAAATTATAGGATTGTCAAAATTGTAAAGTCGAAAAACGGGATTACAAAAAAAAGGCGAAAGAAAGGTGAAAAAAATGCTAGTAACAGAGGACAAAAAAAAAGTCCGTAAAAATGTGGGAAAAAACCAAAACAAAAATAGGTGACAAAAACACAAGATAAAATATTCCATGAAAAATTCGAACAACAGCGATTTTTCAATTTTTCTTTTCGCCAGTTTTTCAAGTTCTTGATTCATTTTTGTATTTGTCAATAATCCGATTTTCCATTTCTTTAATTTTCAATATTTTCGATTTTATATTTCGTTTCTTCTTTTAGATTTTGCACTATTTCGATTTTTAAGTTTCCTAATTTTTTATCTTTCGATTTTTCAATTTTTGACACATTGATTTCTAGCTTTTTGAATTTTCAAACTGACGAAAACGGGTGATGGAAAAGCAAGAAAAAAAGCAACTAAAAAAAGGAGTTAAAAAAAGGGCAAAAAAAAACAAAGAAAAAAAAATACAAAAAAAAGTCACAAATGAATTTAAAAAATGTGTCCAAAAACTCAAAAAAAGGGTAACAAAAAATCCATAAAACACGTTAAAAAAATGGGATTACAAAAAAAACAAAAACGCGACGAAAAAATGATGCGAAAAAAATGCTACCAACTGAGAACAAAAAAAAAATGCCAAAAAAAAACGTAGGAAAAAAACTCCAAAAGTGATTTTTCAATTTTTCGTTTCCCCAGTTCTTGATTTTTATTTTTCAATTTCTCGATTTTTTATTTCACATTTTCCCGATTTTATATCACACTTTTTCGTTTTTTCATTTCCTTCATTTCTTCAATGTTTCTTCCGATTTTATAATTTTTCAATTCCTCGATTTTCCAATTTTAAATTTTGAATTTTGCAATTTTTGGATTTCTCAAATAACCGATTTTCCGATTTCTGTAATTTCCAATATTCGTTTTTTTTATTTTGCACTTTTCGTTTCTTCAATTTTTCAAGTTCTTGATTTCCAATTTTTAGACTTTTCAAAGCTTTCGTTTTATACTTTTTTCGTTTTTTTTTCACTTTTGATTTTACAATTTTGCAATTTTTCCATTTTTTTTATTCGAAAAGTTGAAAAAACGGGAAATTACAAAATCCGAAAAACTGCAAATCGAAGAACTGAAGAAATGAAAAATCGAAACATTGAAAAACGAAAAATGGAAAAACTTCAAAATCGAATCGAATCGAAAAATTATTAAATCGAAAAATTATAGAATTCTTAAAATTGTAAAGCCGAAAAATTTAATTTTCAATATTTTCGATTTTATAATAGTTCGTTTTCGATTTTTAAGTTTCCTAATTTATATTATATAAAATTTACAACAAACTTGAATAAAAAAATGTGCCAAAAAACTAAAAAATGCGATAAAAAATCCACAAAACATGTTAAAACAATGGGAAAAAAGCGACAAAAATAGGTGACAGAACGCAAGATGAAAAAAATCCATAACAATTTCGAAAAAAAACGTCGCTACAAAAAATTACAAAACAAGGTGACGCGGAAACAAGGAAAAATCCCACAAAAAAAGCAACGAAAAAATTAAAAAAAAAAGGAGTAAAACTACAAAAATATTACAAAAAAATACGTTTAAAAAAAAGAGGGAAAAAACAAAAAAAAGACAAAAGGAGGACCAATAAAAGGGATTTAAAAAAAGTCCACCAAAAAAGGGCTTCAAAAAATTGACCCATATATGCGAAAAACGGTCCACAAAAACCGGAAAAAAAAAGTTGCCAATTAATTTTTTTCCAAAAAAAAAAACACCCAAACCCCGACCTCCACCAACCGCCAATAAATCCCATTTCCGCCTTAAATTAATCAACCGCGCCGTCTATATTTATCGCAAAAATAATAACCCATCAATTACCCAATACCACCAATCAATTCAGCCAACAAAAAAAAGTAATAACTCAAACCACAAGTCCAATTACCAACATAAACAACATTTACGCCGCCTCTAAAACCCGACCTTGGCACGCCACAATTCTCCCGATAACGCTATCGCCGCCCCTCACCCGAAACTCTCCTCGCCGCACAGCGACAGCCGCCCGGCGTCCATCAGATTCCCGAAGTACTTCCACCCGGTGGGCACCTCGAACATCTCCTTGCCCAGCTTGGCGGCGACCCGGTCCACCGCCGCCGCCGTCGGCATGGATCTAGCGAAGCCGTGGACCCCCTTGCTCTTGAAGTACGGAATGCAGTCCAGGTTGTTGGCGATCACAGCCAGACTGTCGCTGGGGGTGACGAAGAAGGCGTGCTTTCCGATGATCATGTTGCGGTCCTGGAGTTAGATTTGTTAGAGTTAGGTTTGAGTGTGGAGGAGAGGGTTACCCCGTCTCCGTCGAAGGCGGCCCCCAGGTCGTAGGTGGTGTCGTCTTTGACCTTGTCAACGAGGTCTTTGGCGTAGGTGAGATTGGGGTCGGGGTGGATCTCCCCGAAGTTGTCCAGGGGGATTATTCGACGGACGTTGTTATCAGGGCTGGCTCCTAATTCTTCCACGAAAATTCGAGTCACGTAGACACCAGTGACTAATAATAGTGATAGTTTATCGTTAATTTTTTTACTAATTGACGTTATCATGAGTGATTATGGGGGCCATAAATACTAATTTTTTTAGACTTACCCCCGTTCATGGAGTCAATTAACACGTTGAAGGGCGGCCTGTTGCCATCCCCCCGAATCAGCTCCTTCAGTTTCCCAAAATCGAAAATCTCCTTCATCAGAGTAACGTAATCATCGGAAGAATCTATGACTTCCACCACGAATTGCCTCCCGTCGACCTCGAAAGTCTGGGTCCCCGTCTGCGAAAATTCGCAGTCCAAATCCGGGGTGAATTTATACAGACTAATCTTCTTCGTGAGCTCGTACACCGCATCCGTGAAGCTATCAGGCGCCGGGCCCCCATTCTCAATATTAAACTTAATCCCGAAGTCGTTCCTGATGCCCCCGGGATTATGCGACGCCGTCAGAACAATCCCCCCTAACACTTTATGTGTACGGATCAGCGAAGACACGGCAGGCGTCGACAAAATCCCCCTTTGTCCGATGATCAACTTGGCCACCTTAAAAACAACCCCTCAATTAAACAAAAACACTCACACACCCTTAAACAAAAGTTTACCCCATTAGCCGCCGCGATCCTAATAATTATATTAATCGCCTGCTTCGAAAAGTACCTTCCATCGCCGCCTACGATGAGCGTCGCCCCCTTGAGCTTGTCCCCCAAGGCGTCCAAAATACACTGTACGAAGTTCTCAGTGTAGTTCTTCTCCATGAACACCTTGACCTTCTTGCGTAGCCCGCTGGTGCCGGGTTTCTGCCCCTCGAAGGGCGTAGTGGGAATAACGACAGAAGTGAGACTCATTGTCGGCCTACGGGAACAAAGTTTTCATTGAAAACGAGCACTTGTAAAATTTTAAGGTTAGGAAATTGGTCGGGGGGGTTCACTCAGGCGACGAGCACCTACCTTGGTTAGGTTAAAACGCGTCTATGGTGCGTAATTCAGTCTAATCTAGCTCTAAGCTCGTTTTTAATCTTTACGATTTCTTGAAATTTGAACTTTCAATGTCAAAGAGGTCAAGTTAGCGATGGTGCGCATGGGTGGGGTGAAAACCGGCGCGAGATTTGAATTTGACGTTTGAGTGGACAGGCCCGGATTGCGGCAATTGTTGGCCACTCTAAAGACTCAGTTTCATAAAAAAGTGTACTCATACTATATTAGTTACACTAAAAAGAAATAATAATTTATTGTTTAATTTCGTAGTTGGTTAATTTTTTTCAACTTCCTTATTTCCAAGCGGATGGTGTTATCTCTGAGATGACGCTACACAACTTGTGGTTTGTCAAGCCGCCACAACCAAGTCCGTTATCTCGCTGCTAAGCAAATGTGAAATATTTATTTTTATATTTTAATATATCTCGGGACTCAAAAATTCTTTATGCGGGCCTGTCCGTATGAAATTGCCTTGGAATCAGTTCAATTTGTGTAAGTAACGTGCCAAAATTAATTGGCTTGTTTGTTATGACTCTAATGTAAAAGTTCAACATACTTGGCTTTAAATAAATCACTTGCTTTTAGGAGGCGCTTGACTTTTGAAAAGGAATTTTTACGTAGACTTTGCCCGAATGCAAAAAAAGTGGTTCGGGTGCCAACCCTGGAAATTTTCCACGAAAAAAATTCTTTCTGCAGGTGTATTGGTTGTGTTTTAAAAGCCACTTTGGCCTAAATAATTTTGTAGTTCAAAAAAAAGTTGACCCGCCCACCCACCCCTTCCCCATGTCTGGGAACCAATTGCTTTGTTTTAAAATAAAACAGGGGTTTCACATTACTAAAAACAAAGAAACGTGAAAAATGAGTACTATTTTCGAAATTTTTCCAAGAAAATGGTTAAAATGGTTTTCTTCGACTAAGAATTGGTGGCAAATAATCTTTGGCCAATTACAAATCCGAAACCGCCGACAACTCATCTGTTCCAATAAACGTGAAAAGAGTTCAAAATTTTCAAAATTTTTCCAAAAAATGGTTGAAATGGATCCAGTCGACTGAGAAATTGTCTTAAATTGTACATAATCTTCCGCTAATTACAAATCCTAAATCGCCGACAACTCAGTAATTCAATCATACTTGAAAAGTGTGTCCAAAATTTTCAAATTTTTTTCAAAAAAATGGTTAACATGGGTTCAGTTCACTGAGAAATGGTCTAAAATTGTAGATAATCTTCCGCCAATTACAAATCCGAAATCGTCAACAACTCGTTTATTCAAAAAAGAGTTTTGACTTTTCAAAATTTTTACAAAAAAAATGGTTAAATCTGGTTCAATCGAATTGATTAAAAAAAGGTCAAAAAAAACTCGAATAAGGGTATTAAAAATGAGTATAAAAGAAGGGAGTCAAAAAAAGGCAGAAGAAATTGTAACAAAAAGACAAAAAAAAACTAAAAGTGTGATAAAAAATTGCAAATGAACTAGGAAGGATACAAAAAATCCTTTAAAAAATGGACTAAATAATTACAAACAATTGATGGAAAAAGTAAAAAAAAAAAACCAAAGAAGTCCACAAAAAATGGAATTAAAATAAAAAGAAGACCATAACAGAGGACTAAAAAATGACAAAAAAAGGCAACTACAAAGTGACAAAAAAACGACGAAAAAAAGTTGCTGAAAAAAAATGCGAACAAAAAAAGGAAAATACAAAAAGTGACAAAAAATGTTACTGAAAGAAGGAAGTCAAAAGGACCAAAAAAAAGTGACAAAAAAATTCTTCAAAAATGCGAGATTAACGAAAAAAGTAAAAAAATGCGAAAAAGTCCACAAAAAAATGAGACTGAAAGAAGGGAGTTTAAGAAAGGGTCACAAAAAATTGTAACAAAAAAAGAAAAGTCAAAAAGTGACAAAAATGCTGAAAAAAATGAAAAAAATTTGACTAAACGAAAAAAATCAAAAGAAGGCGATAAAAGAGATGATAAAGACAGGACAGAAAAGGATGACAAAAACAAAGGACAGAAAAATTACAAAAAAATGGTCAAAAAAACGCCAAAAAAGTGAAACTAGAAAAAAGAGAATAAAAAAAAGGTCACAAAAAATTGCAAAAAAACATAAAAGAGGAGAAAAATGCGACCAAAAAAAACAACAAGAAAAAAAAATGCGAACTAAAAAAATGGAAGTATAAAAAATGACAAAAAACGGCGAAAATGTGACTAAAATAAGAGAGCCAAAAAAATGCGACAAAAAAATCAAAAAAAGGACCATAAAACAGGACTAAAAACCGATAAAAAACGACAAAAAAGCATGCTGAAAAAAGAAAGTACAAAAAAAAGGCAAAAAAGCACAAAAATGGTACCGAAAGGAGGAAGTCGAAAGAAGGCGATAAAAAGGCGGTAAAAAAGGAACAAAAAGATTATAAAAACAGAGGACAGAAAATGCTTCAAAAAAGCCACTAAAAAAAGTTCAAAATCAACGAAAAAAGGTCAAAAAATGAGAAAAAGTTCACAACAAATGAGAAGAAGATCACAAAAATTGCAACAACAAAAATACCCCAAAAGAGGACAAAAACACTTTAAAAAATAACAAAAAAAGGTGACTACAAAGTGACAAAAAAATTCGGCTGACAAAATGTTAACAAAAAAAAGAAACCAAACAAGTAACCAAAAAAAAAACGAAAAGAAATGACAAAAATATTATTAAATGAAGGCAATGAAAATAAGGCGATAAAAAGACAATAAAAACAGAACTAAAAGCGTAACAAAAATACAGGACAAAAAAAATCCTTAAAAAAATACAAAAAAAGGAAAAAAAACAACAGCAAAAGCGCAAAAAAGGAGACAAAAAAAGGTTAAAAAAAGGTCACTTGAAAAAAAAATGGGAATGAAAAAATTAAAATTCAAAAAGTGACAAAAAAGGCGAAGAATAGACAAAAATGTTACTAAAAGAAGAGAGTAAAAAAATGTCACAAAAAATGCACAAAAGACCTTAAAAGAGGACTAAAACATCGACAAAAAGGCGACTACAAAGTGATAAAAAACAACAAAAATATCGGCTGAAAAAAATACGAACAAAAGAGAAAAAGTCAAAAAGTGATTAAAAAAAAGGTGAAAAAAAAAGAAAAATGTTACAGAATGAAGGAAATCAAAAGAAGGCCATAAAAAAGACAATAAAAACATGACCAAAAAGTGTAACAAAAACAAAGGACAGAAAAATCCTTAAAAAAGTTAAAAAAAATAGAAATATGTAAATGGTCAAAAAAAGCCCAAAAAATCCGCAAAAAGCGAAAATAAAAATAAAAGAGGAGCGAAAACGGGACAAAAAAACAACAAAAAAAGCACAAAAAAAGGAGGCAAAAAAAGACAATAAAAACAGGACTAAAAAGTGTGATAGAAAAATCCTTAAAAAGTTACAAAAAAAAATTACAAAGAATGGAGAAAAAAACATGCCAAAAAATCTACAAAAAAAAGGTGAAACAAAGAAAGAGAAAAAAAATGTCATAAAAAATTGCAAAAAACTATAAAAGAGGAACAAAAACACGAAAAAAAACAACCAAAAAGGGGACAAAAAAGTCACTTGAAAAAAAGTGGGAACTAAAAAAAATGAAACTACAAAAAGTGACAAAAACGGCGAAGAAAAGACAAAAATGTTACTAAAAGAAGGAAATAAAAAAAGCGCTTAAAAAGGACCAAAAAGATGACAAAAACAGAAGAAAAAAAATCTTTAAAAAATGTGACAAAAAAATGCAAAAAAGACTACAAAAGAGGACTAAAAAGCGATAAGAAGATTAAAAAGAAGACGATTAAAAAGGACCAAAAAGTGACAAAAACAGAGTACAAAAAAATCCTTAAAAAAGTTACAAACACATTACGAAAAAATGGTCAAAAGAATCCAAAAAAATGCATAAGAGTGTAACTAATGGACATGAGTCAAAAAAAGCACAAAACAAATAAAAAAAAGGAAGAGCAAAAATGCGACAAAAAACAACAAAAAATGGGACAAAAAAAGGCAAAAAATGTATTCTGAAAAAAATGCGAACAAAAAAATGAAACTACAAAACGTGACAAAATAGCGGCGAAAAGAAATGACAAAAATGTTACTAAAAGAAGGAAATCAAAAGAGGGTGAAAAAAGAAGACCAAAAAGGTGACAAAAAATCGTTAAAAAAAGAACAAAAAATCCACAAAAAGTGAAACTAAAAGAAAGGAATAAAAAAAATGTCGCAAAAAATGCATTTTAAAGACTATAAAGCAAGACTAAAAAACGACAAAAAAAATGTTACTAAAAGAAGGAAGTGAAAAGAAGGCGAAAAAAAGACGTTAGAAAGGAGACTAAAAACGGCAACAAAAAGAAAAAATCCTTAAAAAGATGGATAAAGTTTAAAAAACGCAAAAAAGTCAAAAAAGTCCACAAAAAATGAAACTGAAACAGAAGAGCCAAAAAAATGCTACCAAAAAAATACAAAAAAAAACATAAAACAGGACTAAAAAACAACAAAAAGGCGACTGCAAAGTCACAAAAAAAACGACAAAAATTTTCGAAAAAAAAAAGAAATACAAAAAAGCAAAAAAATTACAAAAATTTTACTGAAAGAAGGAAATCAAAAGAAGGCGATAAAACAAGGACCAAAAAGAGGACAAATAATCCTTAAAAAATGCAACTAAAAAAAGTTACAAATTTAATTAACAAAAAAGGTCAAAAAAAACGCGAAAAATTCACAAGAAATGAAACTAAAGAAAGGGGCTCAAAAAAAGATCACAAAAAATTGCAAAAAAAGACCATAAAAGAAGACAAAAAACACGATAAAAAATAACAAGAAAAAGGTGATTACAAAGTGATAACAAAGCGACAAAAAAAATTCGGCTGAACAAAAATGCGAACAAAAAAAAAGGGTATTTCTAAAACTGACAAAAAAAGCGAAAAGAAATGCCAAAAATATTATTAATTGAAGGAAATGAAAAGAAGGCGATAAAAAGACAATAAAAACAGGACTAAAAAGTGTGACCAAAACGAAGGATAGAAAAATTTTTTTAAAAGTTACAAAAAAAATTACAAACAATGGAGAAAAAAAACCCAAAAAAATTTACAACAAAAAATGAAACAAA